GTTCAGGAGTTTATAGGCATTGTGTTGTTTACTGACTGTACTGTGGTAAACTAAACGGACAAGGCCCCCTTCCTCATGATATCAGAGCTTACAGTCTGATATAATGGACACCATACCACCCCAGGGTGCTTTGGGATTTTATCTGAGACGGAAACAGTCACATCCAGTTAGGATGATTTGAAAAGGTTTCTTGACACCAGTGGGCATTATTCGATTTCTGTTGACAGAACAGGCAAGTTTGGATGCACAGGTGCTCTAGAGAAGGTAACATAAACAAAAAGCACAGAGTTTGTTTGAAGAGAAGCACATGGTCCTTCATTTTTATTTTAGTTCTGTTTTCCTCCTCTTGGTCATACTGTAATTGCTATCTATAATTAAACGTTGCTGTGATTTATAAAATGCACCATTATAATGTTTATATATCACACCAAAAAAAGCATTTGATTTTGATTGTAAGATGTTTCCTAAATTCAGAAACTTTAAAATGTGGAAAAAGAATCTTAAAAATTTTTGTGGAAAAAGATATATAAAATTTGCCATCCTATACTTTTTTAAGTGTATAATACACTCAGTATTGTGCAACCGAATTAAATGACTTAAATATGATAGGAGTTTATTTTCTCTCATATGTAAGTCCAGAAGTATGGTGTCTCTAGTCATCTGCAAGCTTTTTCTAGTTTTCTGCTTATCTCTAAACTGTAGTCTTCAGTTTTATGATACAAGATGGAGTTCAGTCATCCTGACCACATTTCGAACAGCATAATTGAGGAAAGAGTAAAGAAGGGGCAAACCCTCTCTCATTAAGGACACTCCAAGCCCCCTGATACTGTATACGTCACTTTTTCTTATATCCCATTGGCCAGAACATAATGGGAAATAGAGTCTTCTTTCCACACAGCCATGTGCTAGCTAAAAACTGGGAGTTCTGTTACCCTAGATGTGTAGAGAAGATATTGATTGGGGGATACTAGTAATCTGTGCCAAAATGTGTATTAAATGTTTTATTTCCTCTATAATGCTTGAATAATATAGGTCAGATCTTTTAATTCCTGTTTTTTGGAGTTGTTAGCTATACTTTACTTTAATCAGCAGGGGTCACTGTTGAGAAAGTATTTCTTTTCCTATTTCTTTTATTAAACCCAGTTGCCAGTTCCCACTCAGATCCTGGATTTAAAACCTCTTGAATTGGTTTCCTGTGTCTTTGTTGTGTGCTGAGCATTTAAATTTATTATGTTAGTAAACTAATTCTCACAGCTTGCCAAAGATTTCAGAACTGATCAGGAAAGCTAAAATAATAGCCCAAAAATGCTTCATACTATTCAGGAGCTCTTTGTTATAATTACAGTTTATAAAAAGTAGTTTCACAATTATATTTCTCAACTAGGTAATTTATAGAAAAACAATTACAGTTTTATACAGAGCAGTAATAAATGTTAATGTATGACAAACCAAATCACTTAGATTTTTAAAAACCTGAATATACAAGAATGTCCTATCCCTATATATAAGGGATATATTTATATCCCTTATATAAATATATAAGAATGTCCCTCCCTGTAACAGGAGAGCTCTTACAGTGTCTGTTTGTTTAGGGGATGATGTCCTACCTTGAAACAAATAATTGAGAGAGAATACTATAGTTGCCCTCATATTCCCCCACCACCCCCATCCCTACATCCTTGTAATTGTTTGCAGATAGATTATTAAAATATGTAATTATATATCCCTGATGACTTAGACAGTGAAGAATTTGCCTGCAGTGCAGGAGGCTTGGGTTCAATCCCTGAGTCTGGAAGATGGTCTGGAGAAGGGAGTGGCAACCCACTCCAGTATTCTTGCCTGGAGAATTCTGTGGACAGCAGAGCCTGGTGGCTGTAGTCCATGGGATCACAAAGAGGTGGACATGACTGAGCAGCTAACACTGTATAGCCACACATTAATATGAAACGAGATAACTAAGAATGTCAGATGTTTGAACAGTGACTTCTCTAAAACAGTAATATCTCAAACCTTCACAAATTTTTCTAATTCATTATATCCTTGGTCTAATTGGTTTTGACATCTTTATATTTTGTATGAGAAATCTAGAGTTTGGATTCAGCTGAAATAGTAAGATGTCTAAAACATATTTTCTGTTGCTTCTGTGAATTGAAGTATTTACTTTATAAACAATATCATGAACTAGAGTGGAAGCCATTTAGGTTTCCTAGAAAACATCTAAAATTAATGTGTGTCTGTCTCTAGGATTATTTTCTAAGTTCCATTGCTTTGTCACTTTAAATAATAAAATATTCTGACTATGTGTTAGAACTGTGATTTCTTAAGTTCTGTTTTTTCTGGTCTGTTGGTTCTCAGACTTCAGGAGGCATCAGTACCACCTGGAGGGCTTGTTGAAAACAGGTTGCCTCTCTCTTCCGACCACCACACCTGGCACCCTGTTTCTGATTCTGTAGGTCCGGGGTATAGCCCAAGAACTTGCCTTTCTGACAAGGTCCTGTTTGATGCTGATGCTCTTGTTTGACCACAGTTTGTGGACCTCTGATCTTTCTCTACTTGGAGTAGGATGCATGTATGCAGAAGGAAGAGGAGGGAAATACAAATCTGGACTGGTGTCTTATACACCATGGTCTTTCCCAGGTACTCCCAGAACACTATTCCTTTTCTTCTTTACTTTTTCATACACCTCATGTTCATATAGAGACAACAGCGTTTGGCCTATTTAGGCTGAAGAAGTGAAATAAAGGTCACTTAGTCATGTCCGACTCTTTGCGACCCCATGGAGTATACAGTCCATGGAATTCTCCCGGCCAGAATAGTGGCGTAGGTAGCCATTCCCTTCTCCAGGGGATTGTCCCGACCCAGGAATCAAACTGGGGTCTCCTGCATTGCAGGCAGATTCTCTACCAACTGAGCTACTAGGGAAGCCCATTTAGGCTAACTTAGGCGGGGGAAATTGCTACTGGGTGTGATTTTTGTTCCTTTTTTAAAAAAATGTAGAGTTGTACAAGTTGTGTGAGCAATACATAGCAGATTTATATTCTTTTATCAGTTTAATTATTGTCTATATTCAAGTGAACAGAAGTGCCTTGCTGGGTATTCAGTTAAATGCTTTGAATATACAAGATAAAGAGTTCAGCATTTCTACTATAAAAGTGATTATCTTTTATATTTTGTGGATTTGAGTTGGGCATAGTCTGTTACACTGGGTGCTTTATTGGTGTTGTAAACTTACAAATTTAATTTTTTCCAAAGATCTCAAGCTTAAGATACATGTTGTATGCTAAGAAGTCCCCCAGGCAGGTCTCAACTTTTGATACATTTAGCTGTCTTTGCAAGACATTGTTATTTATGTCATCAACCCTAGATTATTCAGGGTATACTTTATAACTCCTTCATGCATTCTTTCCCGTAAGTGTACCTAGAGAAGAATGATCATGGGACTTCCCTAGCAGTCCACTGGGTAAGACTCCATGCTTCCACTGCAGGGGGCATGTGTTGGATCCCTGCGAGGGGGAACTAAAATCCTGTGTGGTGCAGCCAAAGAAAACCAAATAATCGTAATAGTAAAGAGTCTTAGAAAATTAGAAACTGTGAAATTTGAGATTTGTGTAGGAGGAAATGTGATGACTTCATATTGAAAGTCTGCTTTACCAAAAAGGAGTATGATTTTTTCCTTAGTAACTTCCATTAATGGACAGAGATTTTAGGGAAGCAGGTTGTTCTTTGATGTCAGGTAATTTCCTAAAGCATGTGATTGTCAGGCACTAGCCTTATTATAACATGGTGTGTTTGCTGCACTGAGACTTGGTAGATGATCCAGCTTCCATCAGCGATTCTGTAGCTTTTTAAAAACTCCTTTTTTCTCCAGCTTTTTTTTATTCATCTCCACTGCCCCTGTAATCTTACAGAGATCTGCATCATCTTTTACTTCAGCTATAATTTAACATATTTCTAACTTACCTCCTTGATGCTAGTCCAAATTTAATATTTGCTTATTTCCATGTTCTTCATTGTAGAGCAGGAGACCCTTAAGTACAGAGATAACATCTTACTGTCTTTGTATTTCGTTGCCTAGAAAGGTGCCTAATACTTAGAAGATGTTCAGTAAATGTTCACTTCGTGAAGTCAAGAGGCATCTATGTAATACTTAATAGCAGGGACTGAATGTATTCCTCAGTTTCAGTGACATGTGTGTTGTTTTCCCTGACTTTTTATTGGATATATAGGTATTTGATTTTTAGTGTAGCTTACTAGACAAGCTTATAATGGAAGAAATTGTGGGTCTGTTTAAAAGTACCTACTGTGAGTTATTTCATTAATTTGAATGATCCTTTGTGCCTGCAGCATGCATACGGTTGGTGGTTATGAAGCATTATTAGTTTTCTGCATGATACATAAAACTTGAAAGAGAATGTTCCCTATCCTAGGTTTCTGAACAACTCCATGAACAAATAAATATGAGTTAGATATGGAGAATAACCTTGCCTTAAGGTTTTTCAAATGGTCACTCTGCACTGATACAATTTTAAGCAAGTAAACTTTTTGTAGCTCAATTTCCTTATATGTAAAATGAAGATTAAGGGTCATGAGAAGATTCTCAGACATTCTCAGAAATGTCTCAGACATTTTTTAGCCTAAAGAATTTCTGAAAATATGACTTTGGCTTATAATATCCGTTGTACTTATTCTCTTCTTTCCTAAGAGGATTACCTCTAAACTGTTGTTGAAGTGAAGTGATGTCACTCAGTCGTGTCTGATTCTTTGCGACCCCATGACCTGTAGCCCACCAGGCTCCTCAGTCCATGGGATTTTCCAGGCAAGAATACTGGAGTGGGTTGCCATTTCCTTCTCCAGGGGATCTTCCTGACCCAGGGATCAAACCCAAGTCTCCCACATTGTAGGCAGATGCCTTACCGTCTGAGCTACCAGGTGTCTAAACTGTTGAGTTAAACGTGATAAAATGTGAAGTAGCACTTGACACAATGATTTTGTTTTTGCAGATGTTCTCAAATAGTGATGAAGCTGTAATCAATAAAAAACTTCCCAAAGAACTCCTATTACGGTAAGTCTAACTTTATGATGGTTTTTTTGTTGTTGTCGTGTATCACTTTTGCCTGTTTAAAATAATCTTAGACTTTTTGCTAATTTTTGTGTATCTTCAGAATCTGGATTATCTGAATTTTAAAATTTATTGATGCCTTTATTAAACAGTCTTATCCTAGGAATTACAGCCTTTAAAAAAGTTGCTTGAAACTTTCCTCTGTTAGCACTCGGGGTTTTATTAGAGCAGCATGCCTGAAAGAAGCACATTCTCTTTGCAAAGTGTTAGCAATCACTGTGCTCAAGGGCATCTTGCTCACGGCTGCTGCGGCTGCTGCTGCTGCTGCTGCGTCTAGCCCACAACCAGCCCCTGCTTCAGGGTGAAAAATGTCTCGCTCTAGTGCTGGTGAAGAGTATTTCTGGCATTCCTAAGTATTTGCATACTGAGTCCTCCACTAGATTGCAGGATCCTTGGAAGCAGGGATTAAATCCTAGGGCTTAAACTTTGAAAATGCTAAGAAAAAAAAGAGAGAACTGAATTGAACTTGAAATGGATTTTTTCCATGAAAGTAAAATAGACACACGAGCTGGTTGACTGTAAGTGAAAGAACATCCTAAACTACCAGAACCATTGGAAAATGCACTCTGAATATCTTGAGTATCCCATAAATTTCAGTGAAATTTTAGCTATCTTAAAGAAGAATATTTTTAAAACAGGTAATGCTCTTCATTGTTACCATAAGCTGAGTACATTAAGACACACTTATTTTTAATATTGAGCTTCCCAGCTGGCGCTCCCTGCCAGTGCAGGAGACTCAGGAGACGTAGGTTCGATCCTTGGGTTAGGAAGATCCCCTGGAGTGGGAAATGGCAACCCACTCTAGTACTCTTGCCTGGAAAATTCCATGGACAGAGTAGCCTGGCAGGCTACAATCCATGGGCCAGCAAAGGGTTGGCTATGACAGAGATCATGCTGTGATCATACTGTGTTTATGTTTTTATATTTCATTAGAGTTTTTCTGTTTTTGTCATGAAACTCAGATTACAGTGGTCTATAAGACCTCTCATGTTGTGGCAGGGGAATAATATGATTTGGTTTATATTTTTTAAAGAATCAGCCTGGGTACTATGTGCCAGCCAGATTGGGAGATAGTGGGGAGCAATAAGAATGCTATTAAAGAAATCTAGGCAAGAAATGAGGGTAACACGGATAACATCTTCTGTAATTCTTGATACTGCACCATTGCCTGCCCTGGCCCTTTATAGCTTTAGACACCATTTCTCACTCCCCTCCCACTCCCTCCCCTCCTTTCCTTTTTTAGATATAATTGACATATAATCTATTAGTTTCAGGTATACAGCATAATGATTTGATATTTGTATATATGGCAAAATGGCAGTCCAGTGGTTAAGACTCCATGCTTCCACTGTTGAGGGTACAGGTTCAATCCTAGTTGGAAACCAAGATCCTGGCTCACCACAAAATGATCACCACAGTAAATCTAGTTAATATCCATCAAAACCCATAGTTAAAAATTTGTGGGGCTTTTTGTTGTTATTGTTTTAGATGCTGCATATTAATGAGATCTTACAGTATGTTTTTCTCTCTGTGACTTATTTCATGTAGCATAAGTACCCTCAAGGTTCATTCATGTTGTGCTTATGGCAAGATTTCCTTTTTCTTTTGGAGCTGAATAATATTCCATTGTACATGTGTGTATCACATTTTCTCTATCCATTCATCCATCAGTGGACACTTAGGTTGCTTCCATCTCTTCAGTTCAGTTTAATTCAGTCGCTCAGTCGTGACTCTTTGGGACCCCCTGGACTGCAGCACGCCAGGCCTCCCTGTCCATCACCAGCTCCCAGAGTTTACCCAAACTCATGTCCATTGAGTTGGTGATGCCATCCAACCATCTCATCCTCTGTCGTCCCCTTCTCCTCCTGCCCTCAATCTTTCCCAGCATAAGGGTCTTTTCAAATGGGTCAACTCTTCACATCAGGTGGCCAAAGTATTAGAGTTTCAGCTTCAACATCAGTCCTTCCAGCAACACCCAGGACTGATCTCCTTTAGGATGGACTAGCTGGATCTCCTTGCAGTCCAAAGGATTCTTAAAGAGTCTTCTCCAGCACCACAGTTCAAAAGCATCAATTCTTCAGCGCTCAGCTTTCTTTATAGTCCACCTCTCACATCCATACATGACCACTGGAAAAGCCATAGCCTTGACTAGACAGACCTTTGTTGGCAAAGTAATATCTCTGCTTTTTAATATGCTGTCTAGGTTGGTCATAACTTTTCCTTCCAAGGAGTAAGTGTCTTTTAATTTCATGGCTGCAGTCACCATCTGCAGTGATTTTGGAGCTCCCAAAAATAAAGTCAGCCACTGTTTCCATCTCTTGACTATTATAAATAATGCTTCTACAAATATGGAAGTGCAGATATCTTCTTGTTAGGATTTTTGTTTTCTTCAGATAACTACCCAGAATTAGAATTGCTAGATTATATGGTAGATCTGTCTTTACTTAAGAATTTCATACTGTTTTTCTGTAATGGCTGTACCAATTTACGTTCCCACCAACAGTGTATGAGGGTTCTCTTTTCTCCACATCTTCACCAACACTTGTTATTTCTTGTCTTCTTGATAATAGCCATAGGGGAGAATTAGTATCTCATTGTGATTTTGATTTAGTCACTATTTTGACTTTGCTCTGTTAACTGTTGATGAATTGTAAGGCCTATAGTTGCCAGAACAGATAGTATTTGGGGGAAGATTGGATAAAGAGGAATTCCTACATCAACCAGTTTTTGTTACCACAAACAACTCCTAAATCTCAGTGGCTTTTTCTTACCATTACCTGAAGCTGTGGGTTAACTGATTTCTCTTTCAGGCAGTGGGTCAACTTTTTGTTTAAACCAATTAAGCGAAATAGAAAAGAAAATTTTGTGATATCTTTGAAATTACACTAAACAGTTAACCAATTAGTTAATGTAAATATTAATGAATTCTGTCCAGGGCATATATTTTCATAATTCTTCCTGTGTTTATTAATTAGAATTCTGCTGTAAGGAAGACCCTTCACATCTGTTATGTTTATTTATTCAGTTATTTATAATGGTATAGACTTGTGGATATGTGTTTTATATTATTATGAGTTATATTGTTACTGTCATTACTTACTGGCCAGATTTTTTGTGTGTCTTCTAAATTTGTGGGTGTGTGTATTTGGAATTTCATACCATGTCTGTGTATTAGCTGTTTTAAAAAATACAGTTTAATAAGTAGCATAGACTATTTGGCTTTGTTAGATTTTTAAGTTACATATTAAATTATTTGATCCAACATGTATCAGTCTACAAGGGGAAAACTTGTGTTGCTAGGGCCAAGTTCAGAGCCACAGCCAATTTACCAATGAATTAAGGAAGTGTTCTTGTTTTTTCTTAGCTGTAGCTTACTTTAACTTACTAATTTTCCTCCTTTCCTTTTAAAACAAAGTTTATTAGTAATGCTCCAGCAGGCTGGAATCCACTGCTTGCATAATGTGAAATTCAGTTAGCAGAATTGACAGTACTTCCTTTCAGGGCAGAGCCATGTGCATATCTTTAGGAGTACCTCTTGCAAAATGAATATCAGTGTTTATAAGACAGAGACTCTTCTGTTTTCCAAGAGCTAATGTAAAGTGACTCGTTTCCCAGGATTCCTTCTGAGGATGATATTGATAACGTTAAAAATAACATGAGTGGTAAGTAAGACTGTTTTAACACACACATGCCCTTTTAGCTATGAAACAAAATGCAGTTTCAGAAATAGGATTATCATTATTTACAAGAATCTGAAACTTTTTTCATTAATTTTTCAACTCTTGGGGTGTTGAGTCATCCATGTAATATGTTATGTGGATATGTGAGTTGGTAGATGAATTTTCTTAAGTTAGATGGAAAGACTGAATTGGCTGGAGTTGTTTGTCTAAAAAATAATCATGCTGTATTGGGTCCCCTGGAGTACTCCTAAGTTTGATGATTTTCTGGGAGGACTCAAGGCTCAGCAGATAGTCATACTTATAACTATGATTTATTACAGGGAAAAGATACAAAGCAAAGTCCGCCCGTATGTCTATCCAACGTACTGTACTCTTTTCCTCCTAGTAAATAAAACTTCATTTGTTTCACTAAAAAAAAAAAAGGAAAAGCTGAATAGAGTGAAATAGGAAACCAGGTTTTGCCTTTAAGAGTCCTTTCCCAGTGGAGTCACACAGGGTGTGCTTAATTCCTCCCCAAATAAGTTACAACAAAAAAGTAAAATGTCTACCAGGGAAGCTTATCAGGGAATAGTGGAAAGCCTCTACAGTCCAAATTCTCAAATGCCATCCAGGGTGCAACAGTGCAAGCAACAGTTGAAACAGGGCCTTTCTAATAAGGATAGGCCTGCTATGTTAACTCTTTTCTGTATACATGCTGTCTTATTATATTCTATCCCAGGAAGCTTACAACACTGATGATATCTAGTATTTTCATTCACTTTAATTGCCAAGAGTTCAGGGTGGATAGGAGTGTGTGTTTTCTTACTTTTAAGGGCATAATGGTTAGGAACATCAACTCTGAAATCTGAACACCTGCATTTTGTCATTTACTAGCTATAAACTGGAGTTCAGTACCTACTTTTTAGGAAGGTACTAAAATCCTCCCTGGTGACTTAGTGGTAAAGACTTTGCCTGCCAGTGCAGGAGAGGCAGGTTCAATCCCTGGGTTTAGAAGATCCCCTGGAGAAAGAAATGGCAGCCTACTCTAGTATTCTTGCCTGGGAAATCCCATGGACAGAGGAGCCTGGTGAGTTACAGTCCATGGAAAGATTTGGACATGACTTGGCGACTAAACAACAATGAACAAGGATCAAAAGGGTTGATGAATATAAAGTGCTTACTAGAAAGAGTGCCTGGCACATAGGAAGTGCAATGAAATGTCATGTATATTACTATTTTATTTTTTACTCACAGACCATAAAATGATGTGACTAGATGCTCAGA